CGGTCTGGATAGACTCGAGGAAGTAAGCCAAGATCTCTGTGGTGAGCTCAACGTTTCTCAGAAAGTCAGCCGCCTCGTCAGCGATAATGTCCTCTTCGTCCTGGGATGCCTGTCGTGCCTGAGAGAGCTCAAGCATCGTCTGGGCAACATCAAACTTGGTATCGGCCTTCATTGAGCCCCACATAGAACGAATGCGCGCCGAGATGGATCTGACCAGCTCGGGACGTTTGGCGGAGGCGGGATCCTTCATGATAGAGAGGAGGCACTCGAGGCCTTCGCTGTCGTTGGGTATGACAATCTCGGCAAAGGTCGTGTGCAGCAATGACTGGTCGACTTCCTCAGCTTCGGCGAGACGGTCCGCTTCCTCAGCGGACAGTGACGCCCACCATCGGAAAGCCGGTAGCAGGACCTTTGTTCTAGAAGTGGATGATACTCCCCTGATGCGGTTGAGGATCGAGAGCAGGTTGGACTTGACCCTAATGAGTGGCGTTGCGACGACGTGGCTGGCAAGGAACGAGAGAATCGAAGCCCTGCCAGAAGAGCTTAGTGCCTTCTTGCCTTCGCTGCTCTCACCCTTGGCGCTGCTGTCGAGTGTCGAGTGGAGGACGGCACGAATGTGATCCTCATGCATGATGCATTCCTCCAGAGCCGAAAGAATGACGCCGTGAAGGAGGCGAGAAATGGTATCGGCATCCAGCCACTGCACTTTGTCGCTGTCGTCGTAAAGCTTCTTACCACCCCAAACAGAAGCCTTCGCGACCTTGGACTGGTGAGGGAAGAAGTGGCCTATTTGGATGAGGAGCTCAGCCGCAGCACGGCGAACCTTCTTTGAGGAGTCCACGAGAGCAACAAGGCAGTAGGGGATAAGGGCCTGGAAGTCAAGATCGTTGCCGTCGCCGTCGCTCAGACGTCTCCTGACAGTGTCGACAGCAGCGGCGCGAGCCAGAGTCGGGTATGGGCCGGACCAGATGCGGACGAAGAAGGTAATGTAGGTGTGATCGCTGACTGCAGTTCGTCGGCTCAAAGACGGCAGCTGGTCGAAATCGGCCAGAAGTGTCGGGTCTTCGGACTGCTGAGACACGACCCGGAGGAAGAGTCTACTGAACTCGTCGTAGACGTCCCCAGTGCTGGTTGAGAGGCACGATGGGAGTGCGCGAGTCTGGCCAGAGAGCTCTTGAATAGTCTCTCTCAGGTTCTCCTTTGTCGGCACAACGGGCTGGGATCCATCCATCTCGGTATCCTCGAGGGTTCCGGGCAGTGCCTTTCTCTGGCGAATAGAGACATCAAGCTTCATCTCCAGCTCCTCCACATCGAAATCGACCTCCTCGAGCACCGTCCGGATGATCTCGCTAGTTTCTCCGGAAAAGCGCGAAAGATCAATTAGTGTCGAACCGAGCTCCTTGCGAATTTCGCCGTCCTTGTCGACCTCGTCGTCCAGCCTGTGGGCCGCGAGAACCAGAGACTTGAAGATGACAGCAATCTGCTTCCCCTTCAGGATCTTGCTCATCAGGATTACGCGAATGATTGGCAGTCCCCGGGCATCGCCCTTCTTGCAGAGTCTTTCGATAAAGGCGATGCACAGGCCGTTGGTGAGCTTGTCCACCCTCCTTTCCTGACCAAGCTCAACGAGAATCTCTCCAAGGTCCTGCACCTTCAACAAGGCCTTGGTAACCTTTCCAGAAAGCTGTTTCGCGGATCGGTACTGAGCCAGGATGCACAAGCACACCAGGCCGGGGCGCACAGTCTCGCTGGTCCAACCGTGGACAATCTGCTCCATGAAAGCCGACAGAGTCGCGTCGTCGAAGCTTCCCTTGGCCGCAACAATAGTGACGGCCATGTACGAAGCGATCTGCATATTGGGGACCTTCTTCATGGTCATTGCCTCGGCGAGGGTGGGGCCGACGCGATGAAGGAACGCTTCGTTGTTGTCCTGCTGAACAGCCTGGCGACCTGAGCGCATGTTCTCAAGAAGACCGTTCACGGCTTCCGTCATGATTCCGCCCCAGAATGAGATCAGGGTCGGGTATTGCTGCTGGTTCCTGCAGGCCTCGAGGGTGTATTCGGAGAGGGTGCTGAGGAAATCGGCCTTGTGGATCGCTTCGTGGACCAGGACAGATCGTGGAGGTGAAGTGAGCGACTTGATGTAAGGGTTCAAGAATCGGTACTCGTTGGGGATCTTGGACGGCAGGATCGAGAGCAAGGTAACGAAGGCGGGGATCGAGTGGTACGGGAGGAAGGTCGTGATGAGAGACTTCGTGTTGTTCTCGTGGATTCTGTGACAACGTCAGCGTGGGGGTTTCGGCGAGAGTAGAGGCTCCAACATACCTGAATCTTCGCACAAGCCATTCGAGGGCACGAAGCGAAGGCATAAGCCTCAGTCTGCTTCCGACGAGGCGCAGGAAGGACTTGACCTTTTTGTCTAACTCGACATTCTCAGCAGCAGTCATCTGGGTGCGGTCCTCGCTCATGCTCTGCTCGCTAAAGAGCGTCAGGCCATACGGCTTGAAACGGCCGTCGAGCTCACACAGCTCCTCGAAGCCTTCCAAACATATCGTGTAGAGCGCCTGGTAGCTCTGTGTCGCGGCGACTCTCGGCTCGAAGAGGAGGGACTTTGAGTGGGCGGCTTTTTGCGCCCTGACATCCAAAGATGCTTTTGAATTGGCGGCGATCTGCGCCAATTGCGCAGCAAGAGAGGACGCCATTGTCTAGAAAATTTGCGGCATTCCGCAGTGATCAAATACTCAATGGCGGGGGAGAGCAACGAGACTGGGGTTGTTTTCTCTTACAACATTTTCCTGGAGTTCTGGATTTTTTTTCTGACGGGGATTAGTTCCGCCGACTTTTTTTTGCTGATAAGTCATTGAGCGAATCGCTGGCTGTTCTGATAAGGAAGTGGGTCCAATTGATGGATAAGCCCCGCCAGTCCACCTCAATACCTTTGTGAAGGCTATCAGCTTGGGACGTGATCCCATACTTCTGATGCGCCTCGTTATTGAAAAGTGTTATGACCAGGTACCCAGAAAGATAATGATTTGAACCATGGTTTGAATGCTAATAGATGCCTTGACTATCTAATCTTTAATTCTTGGTGGGTGTCAGCAATTGGCCATGGAACATTGGCTGCCTAGGAGCAGTCTGTCGCTGCCATTGCTGTTAGTCTAAAGAGTGGAACCCAACTCCTCCTGCGAAACTCGGTGTTAGTGGTACGGTCTTCTCGTGCAATTGATAGGCCGACAACCGCAGACTGCAGGTACTCTCACATAGCCTAACCAGTGAGGATATCGTGCTTTCGGCTAGACGGGATGTTCTGCCGTATTAGTGGCTCCGAGGTGGTGTTTGCGAGATTGAGGAGAAGGGCTGCCTTGGGCTCCCTGCAGCGAAGTCACGGAGACACATATAAGCCGGGCAAGCCACTCAACACCATAGACTTAGTACCTTAGGTTGCATATTCCTCATAGCATAGCGACATAGAGTGGCCTAATAGATACCCCAACATGGCTGTAAGTGATATCATTGATACAGGTGCTACACATTACTTACCACGATTTCAAGAAACCATACCCTCAAGTTGTGCTCTTTGGAGATTCTCTGTTCCAAGGGTCTGTAGTGACCTTTGAAGGCTTTTGCTTCCAGGCTGAGCTTCAATGTCGTGAGTTTACCAGTACCAGGTTTTGGGAGTTGAGACTCAAACACTTACACACGCCGCTTCAAAGATGTGAATCGCCGTTATGACGTTGTCAACCGTGGGTTTTCTGGTTGGAACTCGGCGAATGCTCTGAGATATCTCCCCGAGATGTTTCCCGCTCCTTCACCTTCAGGGCCACGGCTGAAGTACTTGGTCAGTACAAACCTCGTGCCGATTGGCATTCAATGTCAACCTGACTCTCCCTAGTTGGTCCTTCTGGGCGCAAATGATGCAGTTCAGCCAATGCATACGACAACCCAAAATGTGCCCCTAGAAGAATACAAGCAGAACCTCATCAAGATCGTCACGCACCCCAACATCACAGCACACAACCCCAAGATCCTCCTCGTCACGCCGCCGCCCATCGACGAGATCCGCATCACCAAGCTGGACCTGGCCTGGGGCCACCCAAAGCCGACTCGGACCGCCAAGATCAGCGCAGATTACACCCAGGCGGCCCGCGACGTCGCCGCCGAGGTCCCCGGCGTGGTCTCGATCGACCTGTGGCAGGCTCTTATGGACCATGCCGTCGCCAAGACGCCTGGCTTCAAGGCCGGAGGGCCCTTGCTTGGTACCCCGGAGCTCGGCGAGCAGGGCGGGCTCGCGGACCTCCTGCCGGACGGCCTCCACTTGAGCGGCGAGGCGTATAGGGTGTTTTATCAGACGGTGCTGCCTCACATTGGGCAAGAGTACGTCGGTCTGCCCGACGACGATCGTACGGACTATGTATTTCCAGATTGGCGGGATCTCAACCCTCCGGCGTAGGTGAGTTTGACATGGGCGATGGAGAAGCTAATAGAGCGGTCCATGCGATGCTGCATATATTCTGCAGGAGGCGCTGCAGTGGCATTTCAAATCAAGTGAATTCTTTGTAAGAAACTGCCCAAGTACTCAAGACGAATGCTTCTTCCGAAATAGCAAAGCATGTGATGACGGTGGCGTACAATGTACTTTGTCTCTGCTTATCCTACTCGTAGCCTGACCTATCTCTTCGCGTTCGCTTCGTGCCGAGCCACAGGGAGACATGCCGTCGTCTGAGACACCACCGAGAATCGCCAAGGACAGGAGAAATCAAAGCCGCTGCTGGTCTCGGGAGTAATCCGCAACGCAGACTCGATAGCTGCGGACTGTTTGGCGACGGATATAGCATCGGAGGATTAATGACAGATGGTCGACCGCATATACAACTTACCCTGTCTTCTACGACTACGTATTCTATTACTCCAAATAGGAAGGGCAAGATGGGAAAGTTTCTAATCTTGACTCCAGTTACGTGATCACTTGATGATCTACAGCTCTACCTCCCACGGATGTAATGCCCGCATCTAAGGAATCGTTGACCTCGGTGAGGTTTCCTTGCATAGGAGGAGAACAAAGACAAGGTAGGGGCAGGGTAAGCAAAGGTGAAGTGCGGAGGAGGTGACACCATCCTAGTAGCTAAGCAGTCCAAGGCAGGTTTTGGACGTTTCTGCACTGGCATCTCGGGTGCTTTAGAGTTTGAAGATGTGCAGGAGGTGAGGAAACAGCGGAAGTCACTTTGTCACTGCCAACTGAGGTACCTTAAGGTATCCGTAGGTAAATTGGAAATGGCGGGAGGAATGAGGTGACGCTGAAAGTCTTCAGCACGTCCCTGGCATGGGGGATTTGGGGGTGAGGTGGTGAGCTCGCCGGGCCCCAATCAGAACCTCCTACGGCGTCACACCCCGTTACCCCGTTGCGAGTTCCAGTGGGTGAATGGGCGGGAGGGCGACGACTTGACTTTGCAGGCACCGAGGTGAGGCGCGCTGCACCGAATTGCACTTCCCACAGGGCCACAGGCAGACGGCCACACAGTTACGTACTGGAGGTAGGTACCTTGGTCGCTGGTGTAGGTAAACGGCAGACAGCCCACTCATGTATCTCTCAAGTACACCACCAGATTGTCCGAGGCTGGGTCCAGCGTTCCCAGTCGTGCCAGTCCACAAATCATCAGCCGGACCCTCCTCTTTCAGTGCTCTCATCCACCGACGTACCCACCTGAACTCTGCAGCTTCCTGGCAACGATAAGTTGGGAGAACCTGTACGATACTCTCTCACCCATGCGCCAAACCCCCGGGACCACACCTCTTTCGTTGGCTGGTCCACTCCCGTTGCTGCCCGTTCACTTCACCTCCATACATGCCCGTCCGTCTCTGCTCGTGTCCTGCCCGCTTCACTAATTCAACGTGCCGCTCCAAATTAACCAGCCGGGCTTCGTTTGTCTAACCCCCCGTCCTGTCGAACACCCTTCTTTCTTCATCTTTCTCTACGAAACACTCTGTGTCCTGCCTCTTCCAAAGGCCTTTCTACCTGGACGTTTACCGTTACATCGAAACAGCCGACACGCTCCATCCTGATCAATCGAGTCCTCTGCGAGTCTTCAATCGAACCGAAGCATCTACCATTCAGCATCGTCTCTAGCGCTTCTCCCGTGACGACATCACACCCTACTGCGATCGCACCAAGAGTCTTTCGCACCCACTTACCATATACACGCCATCTACGGCCGATATACGTGTCTCCAAACTCATAACTTACCTCAATTTCGGCGTCGAGAATATTCGACCAAACACGCAACCTCCCAAAGCCATCATCCCTGGGGCATAGCCGCCTCTGTAGACCATCGTGCAAAACTAGTATACTATCACCACCGAATACTAGCTGCCGCAGTCGAACAACTCGACTGGACTTTGAAAGAAGAAAGCTACCGCGATACGAAAAGCATACAAACAACCCTTTGCCTGCTGCAGCTGCTGCTGTTGACGACCTGTTTGGTCTCACCGTGCGATGTGGCGGGGGAGGAGGACCTCGTGAACTGATATCGTAGGGATCGAGGTCGGAAGAGCCCATAGCCTTCCTCGACCCGTCATTCGAACGCGCCTGGATTCGACAATAAACCCATGGGCGTGAACAACCTTCCTGAACGATCCTTCCTTCCAACGGCTTTGTCGATACCTAACAACTGACTCTCCAACTCGATCAACACCTGATCACAAGACACTCGCTTGCCGTTGTCCTTCGCCAATACACTCTGCGGACCTACGTCCCCAACGTCCTTCGATTCCTATTCGGTCCGAGCACTATACTGAGTTCCACACAACTGCTTTCGGGAATGGATCATCGGTTCCCCATCACCCGCGACGATCTCTTCAACATCCAGATGGATTTGAAGCAAATCCAACTGGTTCAGAGTAATCAGGGCGAGAGACTAATAAGGCTTGAAAGGCGCCAGGAACAAGATGCGAGTCTCAAGTCTGTGTGGCAACAGCATCCTTTTCCTGGCGTTCTTGCCGGAACCCCTCAGCAAGGTAATGTTAGGTCCTCCACGGGGTGATTGCTTTTTCGCTGACGTCCCACTCTCCAGGGCCGACTCACCTCTCACCCAACGACATGTTTGATGATTTCGACGAGCAAGGCCAGCACCTGCTGAGCTCCCTTCACCTAGGACCTGCAGAGGAGGAGCCTACCCGTCGGGGTGCTGCCTCTCGAGCCAACAGCGTACGATTCGATGAGAGTGCATTGCGGGGAGCAGCCGACTGGTCTAGCCAGAGCAATCGCCACTCTGGAGAATTCGGACCTCCCAGACCGTCCAGCGGATTGATGATGGAACGGTCCCTGTCCCACAAGTCGGATGGACGCCATAGCTCTGCCGGCCACTCTGTTCACTCTTTTCATTCTGTGGCGTCTGGGAGGGCGAGCAGTTTGGGCTTGGACACCAACTTCATGGTCAGCAGTCATGAAGACGACTCTCCGATAGACATGCCGGAGCCTCCACCAGGCCTCTTTTTCCTAGGCTCCGTACCAACCATCATCCGGTGTTGGCTTACAACGAGCTTCGCCCACGATACGGTGTTGTATGCTGATCTTTGCACGGGCTCCCAGAAATCCGTGGTCGACTATTCTGTCCTCAAGGATCTCGATTTGTTGGATGAGATTCAACACGATGTGGATGGCACGTACAAAGTTCGCCTTCCGGTATACCTAGTCGAGGCCACTGTTTCCGAACGCAGCAGCCGATCATCAAGCCCTGGGCATTCAATGCCCTGCCTCCTCGCAACCTTTGAGGTGTCTGGCATGGAGCAGTCTGAAGGCGCGGAGCCGAAGAGGGGCATTCAGATTTTTATTGGCAGCGACACCCTCAGAGCTCACCAAGCCGATATTCTCCTCTCCCAAAACCGCATGTGCCTCTATGGCAGCGAGCGCGAGAAACTGTCAGTCCCCTTTGTGCGCCCAGAGGACGAGGCGGCATTCAAGCACATAAGCACAATCAACTTCATCCCCGAAAAGCCGCGACTCAACGCCAACGCGGCGCCTTTTGTGTCTGGAGACCCACGACCTCAGGCCCCAACCACGCAAAAAGCATTGGAAAGCAGCTTGTCCAGCATGCAGCATGAGGACGCCGAGTCGCAGGGACCCCTCTCGCCCATGGACAATCACTCTGTACCCAACAAGTCGATTGGGGCAAGTAACCTGTCTGAAAGTGGCGGGGAGAGTGAACGGCCTGGCAAGGATACTACTAGCGGGTCCGAATCGGGGGCAAGAGAGTACCCTACAGCGCACAACAGCTCGGCCAGTGGAGAGGGAAACCGGCGCGAGTCTGTGGGCGGCATCTGGGGCTCATGGCGCCAGGGCACTTCAGCAAACGGTGCCGAGAACGGGCAACGGGACGCCAATGGCCCGCTAAGCGGATATCAGCCCGCCGGGCGAGGAAGCCGGAATATGAAGGTGTTGAAGCCCCTGAAATCGGGTTCATCATCGTCTGCCAGAACTGGAGCTGCTTACGAGCCGCCACCAGCACCCAGAACTAGCGGAGAGCATCGACGCAAGAGTCAGGTCAGTGTGGCGGCAGAGAGCAATCCGCCAACCAATATTCGCTGGGAACCCAAGAGGTCAGTCAGTAGCACCACGGTCAACAGCACGACGGAAGCCAAGCCCCCACGAGAGGCGAAGAATGCAGGCCCAGCTTTGCCGCGGTCGGCGAACCCCATCGGTGGTGCCTCTGCTTTCTCCTGGATGAACCCGGCTGGCAAGGCAAAGCCCACGGCGACGGCAGAGTGATCGGAGTGGAGAGAACGCAAAGCCCCGGTGGCACTGGACGCGAAGGTGGTCGAACATGACCAGAGCAGTAATCTTCTTTTTCTTTGCTTTCAAAAGACGACTCCCTCCAGCATGAAGAGGTGAGATGGCAAGCTTCAAAACAATGCAAGCAAAGCCGACTAGTAGGTAGCCATGTATTGTGCCATGATATATGGCTTTCATGGCACTATGGCTAGAACAGTCCGCCCAGCGGAACCCAAATAACAAAAATCTATGAATTCACAGAGTGTCCAATTACCCCCCAGGTAGCCACGCCCAACCTAGATCGGCAACTAGGACGCCCACAACGTTAGCTGCATTGAGGATCTTCTTTTGGTCCACCTCTGTGGGCCAAAGTCCAGAAAGTGATATATCAGAGGTGATGCCGCCTCTGCAGTTCTCCAGCCTGCAGCTACCCAACCAGCCAGGAGATGATGACTATTTCTGTACTGCAGGTACCTTGCGTTTGTATTGTTGGTTGCGGACCGTCATGGGCAACCCAGGGGTCTCTGCGAGGTCATGTACATGAATTCTTCAATGCACCTCTCAGTCTGCAGTGTCCAGAGAGGCCCGGTCCGGCACTAATTTACCCCACTTGGATGCGGCGGTTCCCCGCACTGCTCCAAGGCCGAGTGTGACGTGCCGAGTCTCTAAGCTCCGAGTCGCGGAATGACTGACCTTGATGACCTTTTTTCCTTTTGGGACTATTGATGGTCTGATTTCCCTTTCTTCCTTCCCCCGGGGTATGTCGATTGCGAGAACTCCCCGAATACATCTACCCTTTACTCGATTACCCCAACCTCGACCGTCCGGACTCTTATTCCGACCCCGCTTCCTGACGACCGCGAGCATGTCTGACCCCGCGAATCGTCGCCTGCAAAGGCCGGTCATTTTGTGCGTTTGATGTCTCCTAGTTACTTTCACACTTTTGCTACGATACGATGGTCTCCTAACAAATGTGATATTGTACTAGTGTCTGCGACCTCCAAGACAAGTTCCGCAATGCAATCTTCGAATTCGACAAGGTCGTAAAGACAACCTCCAAGCTCCTTCGCGCCGCAGACACCCTCAAAATCCCAGTCTACACCACGACCCAGAACCGCGCCCGCCTAGGCGACACAGTCACCGAGCTCGCACCCTTCCTGAAAGAATCGGACCTCGTGCGTCCCGCCGTGGACAAGACCAAGTTCAGCATGTGGGTTCCCGAGATTGCCGCGCAATTCGAGGGAAAGGGAAAGCACGAGGTGTTGATTGTGGGCATCGAGTCGCATATCTGCGTGACGCAGACGGCGCTGGATTTGTTGGCTGAGGGGCATAAGGTGTATGTGCTCGCGGACGGGGTGAGTAGCTGTAACCGCGAGGAGGTGCCGATTGCGCTGGCGAGGTTGAGGGGGGAGGGTGTGGTTGTGACGACGAGCGAGAGCGTGATTTATGAGATGATGGGGGATGCGGCGCGGCCCGAGTTCAAGAGTGTTGTTGGGTTGGTCAAGGATACCGGAAAAGATACGAGGGAGGTTTTGCAGGCTTTGGCGCCCAAGATTTAGATGCGGGTTTCTTTTTTGTGGGTAGAAACGAATTTTGGGTTATAGATATATACATACATCTACAAAAGATTTCAGAGTCTTGTGGGGTTGGTTCTAAGAAAAGAAACAGGCTTTTCTACCTGATTATCCAGATTCATCGAGAGGGTAGATCGAGATTTGACATCTTCTCACTCAAGATTGACAACCTTGACCTTGGCCCCTTGCAACCACGTCAAGTCCCCTTCGACAGTCACCCTCCTCACCCTCGCAAGCTCGTCAATAAACGCCGGCACAAACGTCCCCGGGCCCTGAACATCCGCCCTCACGGCAGCCCACTCAGCCGCCACCTCAAAGTGCAACAGCCCCGCCAGCACAGCAAGCAACTTATCCTCGTCCGCCCACGCCGCCAGCATAGCCGAGACGGTTGTGCCTAGAACGCACCCCGTGCCCGTTATCTGGCCCAGAAGCTCGTGTCCGTTGTCCACGGCCAGTGTGCGGCTGCCGTCCGAGAGGTAATCCGTCTTGCCCGTCATGAGCACCACGTTCCTCTCCCTCCTCGCGAGATCCCTTACAAGCTTTGC